ACCGCTTTTTGGTGTTCATTCGGTTGCGAGAATCTCTGCCAAAACGCTACTAACTGGAAGTGTTCGAGGTTCGAGCCCCTAAATACATTCATACGCTAATATATTTTCCACGCCAACTTTAAATAATAATACACGGTCCTGTTTAAATTTACGACGAAAACAAACAGAACGACTAACAGTTAATAACATTTGGCTTCTGTAACTGCTACTTACGTCTTGAAATGAATGTAGTATCCCTAACTCTAAATCATGTTTAAATTTAATTTTGTTTTCTATTAGAAGCTGCAATTTGAGTTTTTAAAACGTTCCAGATAAAGATGTAACAAATACCATTCAATTCTTCGTGTAAATCTAAGAATTATTTCCCTTTACAGTTTTGTGATACGATTTATAGTTATGGAGTAATTAACGGTTAAAAATCAACCAATCAGAAAGTCTTTTGTTTGCTGCAAACTAAACTGTCAGCGCCCGCCTATTGGCTGGCTTCCGTATGCAGCAAAAATAGCACGATCTAATTGGTTCATCTTTAATTGTTGACAGCTCCGCAACTATGCGTCCGTCAAGAAAACTGCAAAGATGAAAATTTCTTAGAATTTCGTACTGAATCCACTGCTGCTTATATTTTATCTTTTGCAATACAATTATGTAGAGGAGGAGCATTTGTTAAGAGATAAAGAGAATAGTTTAAATTTCTTTTTTGCTTTGGTTGTCTGTAGAAGTAAGTAATTGAAATAACATCTGAAATACAGTCAACAGCTCTTTTAGAGAGTCGCAAAAGTTATAATCTAAATTCTCCGTTTGCAAGGCATCGCACAACTTCTGAGTTATTTTAATTACATCTAAATTTCCATTGTCTCTTACAGTCGACTCGCGTTGTTCAACGAGATCAAAGTAAACAATAATGTGAAAATGAACGTCCTGACTCTCAGATAAAGATAATAATTAAACAAGAGACAGCAGTGAACAGTCGCAGTCTCACAAAGCGACGGGTTATTACCGAGTGCGATGAATTTCCCTGCTTCCCTTATTATAAATTATTTAATTGATAATTTAGCGACGGCTGCTACGACTCGTTTAAATATAAAGTGATACTCAACCTTCAACCTCGTCAGGCATATTGTCTTAATGCTTTAATCTTATCGTTGACAGATTTAACAAACGTTCGTATAATGAATTTAACTTTGTTTGCTTGTTTATTGTATCTTCACTTTAAGGACAACAAAATGAGTCTATAAATATGTACCTACGCAGGTAGAAATAAGGGAAATTCAAATAACACTTTTAGATTACATGAAATCGATCATCCCAAAATTCATATTTTTAACAAATATAATCGACGAACTACGTAGAAACGGAATATCGCTTATATTTAGATGATTATTTCAGTTATACATATATTGGTATCCAAGCAAACAATAGAAAAACTTGGACGCGGGCAGACTGACTCGGATCTAACCGATGTCCTCCCGAATGATAAGCAATGGTCTAAGCCTCTATAGGCGATGCTGCTGGGTAAATGTCTGATGGCAGGACATCATCAGGATGAACAGATGATATTGCTACCTAAAGGATAAAAAAGTACCGACACGTTTTTTTCTAACAGATGTAAGGATCTGCCAGACTTTTCGTTATTGTATCAACACCATCATCATCCATTAGCTACTGATGGAACCGATTATTTCGATGATATAATGCTTCTTGAAAAAAAAAACGTTTTGGCATTACCTGGGGTTATTATTAAGGTTCGATTTGTAGCATCATCATAAGGTTGTCAGTCCAAGGACTGGTTGGAAACGCACCTCCACTCTTTCCTATCCTGCGCTAATTTTCCTAAAACTTAGAACAACTCACACCCTTAACTATTTGCGAACAGTAATTTAATCTTGGTCTACCTCTACCTCTCCTAATTCCTGTTTCTGCCTATAATATGTCTCTGACTAGACCTTCATGCCTGAAAAGGTGTCCTACCAATCTATCTCGTCTATTTCTTATTGACTTCCATAGAATCCTCTGTTCTCCTATTCTTTCTAATACCTCTTCATTGATTTATTAGAAATGGAACCTACTTATTTATCCTTTATTATTTGCTAAAAAACTAAATATTATCTGTAATCCACCTCCTAATTAGTAGAAATTTCATAAAAGTTTTATCGGAAAATGTTTATGGAAGAACTGTGCATAAATTCTAAACCAACACAATGTATTTTTCAAGATTATCGGCTTAAAGGACTTGGTTACAATAAATTAGTTGTGGTAATGAATTAGAAAATACTGCAGTTTCCGGTTGAAATATATAAGTATCTAGTACTATGTACTGTATACGTATTAGGTGAGCCTGTTTCTATAGCGATTCTTGATGCAGTTGGTATTTGAATAAAACTTTATGAGTCTAGAATATTCCACATATTCACTTATTTTCCGCATTAAAATTGCTTTATTCTTGTTCGGTTTGTTTCCCGAGGTACAGGATTAGATGAAAACGAAAACAATGCAAAGAATTTTTTTATTACACATGTTTGTTTTCAGCAGTGCTTTGCAGTATCCAAAGCGCAAAGATCTTATTACCTGAATATAATTAAAAAAAAAAAAACAGTACTTTAAAATGACATGAGTCTTGATCGTCACTTTTACAGTATAGGGTGTAACAGAGATAAGTTCAGAGTATTGGAGTTACAATAAACAATCGCTCAGCAGCGTTGTTAAGGAAAATTGCAATCATTTCTAATCCAAAGCCGGCCCTGTGCGTGAATTGGCAACTTGGGTCTTGAATTCGTATTTTATTCGTTGTGCCTGTAGTTCTAATCCGTTATTTCATAGTTAATAATTCATTTGTAAATAAAGTCTGTATGTAGTGTTTTATATCGAGCTTCATTCGCTTTGTTAAAACAAATATTTTGAGAAAACACTATTCGTGATTTCAAGGCGTACGAGAGAGTTACCTGAACCACTTTCTGTGTAACACAAGCACCTCACATATTTCTGAGTAGTCTACACTTAGACAAGAAGTAGCTACATTTAAGTTGAAGAATTCCATTTGTCCAATACTTAGCTACACTGAAACGGTTCGTGTTTCAGGTCCGGTTCTTTTAATTGTTTATAAACATCCGTTTTAGCAGCAAAGAAGAATAAGAACAACTGCATTCTTAAACGTTTAAAAAGTTTTCTGGAACTATCATTCTTCGTCTTTTCTTCTGTCTAGGATAATAGGAAAAAGTAGAAAAAGTTTACAATGTGTAGAATATGAAGCAGAAACAATGAAGATAGTGATAAAGACCTTCTAGACAACAAATGAGCCTTAATACATCACTGTTTTCTTCGTCCTCTAAGTCGAACAATCAATGCCGACGCTTCCCTTGAAATAAATTGGTGTCGCCTCTGTCAGATGGCTCTAAGTTGGTTAATAATGATGTGGGATCATTCACTATTTCCGAACAATATCAATATAGACCCTCTCAAGGACGTAACCCGTACATTTAAATTTTAGCTAAACGGATACAAATTGGAGGTATTTCAAATTAAATTCGACCAAAACAAAAGAAGAATAAGAACAACTAAAAGTTACCTGGTTACAAATAATAATTAACATGGATTGAAAATCATCCTCATCATCATCATCATCATGCTTTTTTAAGTTTTGAAATTCGTTAAAAAAAATGCCGAATCTTCTTAAACCCTAACTTAACCTACTCTTATTATGCAGCATATAAAAATACAACGTGTAATTATACAACACAGTACTGAAGTGAAACTTCTTCAAACACACAAACATACTGGGATAGGGGTTAAGGAATTGGCGTTAGTGGTGTCGTTTCGACTGTAGACTGTAGACACACATACACAAATACATTCATACATTTTTTAGGGCTACGCTATACATGCCGGAGTTGCCTGTAACGAACGTTGATTTGAAGCGCGCTCACGGCTCAAACGATCCCCACTACGAACTCGACTACGTGGCCGAGTAGAGGGGCGACATCCGTTGCATGATTTCGTTACATAGTAACTCGCATGAAACGAACTTACCCTACCGTGCGTAAAGAAGTTTCATTTCAAAAATACTTTAGGTTAAGTTAAAGTAAAGGGTAAATTAAATTTTCAAATAAATTTTAAAAATATTCCACTCCAGAAAGCTACATGTATGTTTTCGAAAAATCCAAATGGTATTCGTTAAGAAGATGTTTTTGTTGTAAATCCACTTGTGCCTTAATTCTCTATTTGCAAAATTTCAGAAATAAACTAATTCATGAACTGTTTTCACATTGTTCGTTTATAAAACGAATCTGGTAGTCTAAATAAACAATTCAATAAATTAGTTAATAAACGCGGTACACATACATACACATGTATACATGATCGAACTGAATGCGATATCTTTTATTAATTTGAACTAATTGAAACATTTTGCTGACTGACACATTTTGTCACTTCAGCATCAATGTAGATATCTAATATTTATTTTCCTCGTGGAAATTTCACGTTCAACGAAACGTAGGCGGATAAATCGAACATCCAAAAACTAAATCGCTATATATACATAATTTCATGGATATATAAATGGTGTATTTTGCCTAATGATACGTATCTTTCTAGTAAATACGTAGGTAGTTCTGAAATACTGGCATAGTTTATAAACGTGTTTCAACACATGATAATATGTTACATCAGCGCGATTTATTGGATTAATAATGTTTCATTTATCAAACAGTAAAACGCCAATATTAACAATTTACTAATTTGAGTGAAGTGGTGTTTTGTTTTAATAATTTGATCAAAAACCAAAGATTTAAAAGCTATGAAAACCTTGTGACTCGTAGAAGCCTTTTCTAGAGGAGGGGGCATGGAGTTTACAAGAGGTGACACTACTCTCCTTGCCCCCTACCTACCTACCCCCACGATTATATTCAATATTCCTATATTTTAACACAGAAAGTCGCGTATTGTATTTCTGTAAAGTTATACATCAGACGAGAACAATAAAGAGGAAAATTGTATGAGCTTACCTGGTTTACAAGGCCTGTCTATTGCAAATCTGTTGCAGATGACATTATCAGAGACGTTTACGCAGATGTAGCATGTGACCGCGTACTTGTCGAAGTCGTCGGCTATCTCCCTTTTTCCAAACGATATCGTTCGGTACGACCTGTCGTTTAGCGCTGTATTCGTCATAAAAATGCAACTCAGTAGCATGCTGAGTCTCAACATATCAGTCTGAAATGAAACATACATATGTGAATTGACGAACAAACGAAATCGCATTTGTTATTGACATATTGCTATTGTGCCACTTCAAAACACAGATTTAAAGTAGAAAACATGAACATGAACACGTTACGTTGGTACCTATGTTAAGTTTTGACATGAAAATAACTGAAATTGCTTTATAAAACTTCAAAGAATGTTGTTATTTTAATCGTCTATACAGCGGATTTATTATTTTTATACATTTTACAATTCTGCACTAGATGACAAATGGCGTCGCATTCTGTAAACATGCAAGAAGTCTCAAGAAGCGGAAATGGCCCATTGGTATCGACGGCCAACTGCCATACAAACGGGCCCGGTATCTGTGCTCGGCTAATACAACATTTTTTTTCATACGTTAATTTCTTTTTTAGGTAGGAAAAGGTGACAGAGATGTAATAGAAAGATTTTAATGTTAATAATACACGCGCACTCTAATCGAAAAGTACCATAATGTTATTTTAAACTGTTATCTTTTTATCCTTACACAGAGACGCTTTTTGCTGGTACTGTTTGCCCGCACCCTGTAACGCCAACCACCTTAAAAGGTACGTTCGGAATTTTCGATGTAATGCCCCAAGTCTAAAGTTAAAGTGCTATTAAAGTGAACAAACAACTTTAACCTCTTAGATAAAAAACTTCCAAGTGGGTTTTATTGAATCAATTTCTCCGAAGGAATGAATTTAACCTCGGCGAAATTCCGAGAACGAATTTATAGTTTGAAAAAGGACCAGACCGAGACTAAACCCACCATATTATAAAGTTTCTGCTTCGGTTCGTAACACGTACCTACCCATACCCCTTGACAATAAGCTTTTTATGATAATTGAGATTATCTTTAATCCTTAAGGGTCAGATTTAATTCAAAGGCAGGTGCGGCAACTGTGTTTCTTCTCCGAAATGCTTTCACTTGTGTTCGTCTTCATATTTTCGAGTTTGCGAAGTAATTTAACAATCAGGATTAATTAGGTAAGGGAAAATATGGAAAACGTTTTGGAAGATAATTCAAAATGTTTGACAGCTTCCAACGAACCGCCTAAAAACTCTTAGATAAAGTTCTCTCTAGTCTTGCATTTTAATAAAGTCGGTTATCAAAATGAAAGCAATTCTATCGTTTATAAACGAAGATGTCTTACTTGCTGACAGGCGTATTTTTGAGGTTAAAATCGTAAAATAACATTAAGTGTCCATAAGAAATCCTTACAATACTCGAACCGATACGTCAAACCGGAAATGATACGTTATACTCAAAGTGTACTCATTATGCGACAGACAGTGTACTGTTCGTTTCAGGAAGTTAGAGATATGCCCCTTCCTTTTATTAGGATGCGCCGTAGCATATTTCCTAATTCAATCATATTTGTCTGCGGAGCTCATTTCTCCACCGATCATCGAGCGAGAACTAGACAAAAGTGTACAGTACCATTTGCAAAATTATTTAGTGTCTCGTTAAAATTTAAGAATATGCTATTTAAAAGCATATTTAGCCAAAAATAATAACAAGTGAAATAACTTAACGCTCTACACACCTATAAAACTTTTGCTTTGTTTTCTATTGTTAATTTATATACATTAAGAAATTGCTAAACATTTTCGTCTAGTACTCCTGAGACCGCCCATCGAGAGCTCTGCTCGTTCAAGCTTGTTCCAATTATGTCTGTCTTGCTCACGCCTCGTGTGTATTCTTTCTATCTTCGCGCAGATTTCTTCAAGGTCACAATTCTAACAAATTGAAATGGACTGTATATGTCATATGAGAGTACGCGCGAGCCCAATGTGAATACAGATGAGTCCACACGATTCCTGCTGTATGAAAACATGAAAACAGAATGCAATTATTTTTAAGTTTAATGTTTGTTTAGGTTATGAAAAAAAGAAATTATAATAAAAAAGCAACGAAAACAGAAATGGATAAAGGGGAGTGTAACATGATTAGCAGTCTGTTTTGAAGTTGCCACTCCTGGTTTTCCTTTTAATCTTTTGCCAGGTCAAAGTAGACGAGCTGAGTGATCTTCATCTTTGTGACGTTTTCTCAGTGAGGCAGTTTTTTGAACGTTACCGCCGTAATTGCTGTTTTATAAGTAAAGTTTACCTACTAATTAAAAGAAAACTTTAAATAAATGTCAGCAGTAAACGATGAAAATTCAAGTGGCGTAGACAAATTTGTCGTCATAATTTATTCTGTTGTTCTTCGGGAACAAATTTAATTTTATCTTTAGAGGTTCTCTGAAAACTCTTCACGTAAAATTGTCTTCGTTCTGTTACGCTAGTTGAATAGGTTGGTACTTTGGGAAAAGGAGAAATTTAAGGAACAATTTAGTCTTAGGGGCATGTCAAGAGTCTTACCGAAACTGGTGATTATCTAATAGGAATGATTCTTTTATACATAGTAAAACAGGAAACATTTAAATGATTAGGATAATAGAGGGACATGTCTCTGTCTCCCCTTATTGATATTCCCATGGTGAAGTGACATGCCCGCTTCAACGACAACTCATCAAAAGTGCGTTTTGTTGTGCTTATTGATGTCACCTTTCGTAGCTTAGTGCTAAGAGTACTGGTGCGTAAAACCAGGTGTCCGCGGGTTCGATTCCCGGCGAGGGTGAGACAGCAGCAACAAATTTTTCTGCATTTACTTAAGGTAGTAGGGTGAAATTAAGTCGATTTCACATTAATAATTGATTTATTGATAATTATTAATAGTTGTGAGTTTTACTGAGAGGCTAAAGCTGTTTTATCCCTTTGAGAAGGTGCCTTTTCGTATTCAAATCGTTATTTAATTACGACAGCGAGCCGTTGCCGAGCAATTTAGAGTCCGTTAGTTGTGAACAACTTTTTTCTTTGGCACTAACGTAAAAAAGGCAAAATTAGGCACGCTTAGAGAAACTTTTAATGACTACATTCGCACCGGCTCCTTTTCTAAAAGGCCGTAAAAAAAATTATTAATGAGTCGCCGTCAGACGTCCGAATTTACAGAGGAGAAGCTTTAACAAAGACTTTATTAATCTTGCATTGCCGCACAAAGCGGAAACTGAAAGGGAGACGGCGATGTTTTTCTAACTTTTTGGTCGCCTTTTTCCATCCTTTTAAGCGCATAATTTTCGTTTTTTTTTTAACCGCGTCCTCTTTTATCCGGAAAATCAATGACAATATACCTCTAAGAGGCACCTCGAGTACCTACCTCTACAAACAAAAATTCCTTTAATAAAATGATTTAAGAAATAATTTACGATCTACCTTTTAAAGGACATGAAAATTGTTTCTCGAATGTTGCAATCAATATGATTTTTCTAGTTAAAGGTAATATTCAACAGTAATATCTAGGTATAATATATAAGTATATTATGTGCTAAAATTTCATTTACATTTAACGAACTTTTAACAAATACTTCAACAGTATGCCGTAAATTAGTTAATTAACATGAGCATTAAAAATGGGAGCCGCCATTAAGTTTAATCTATTTGAACAGAATCCATGTTAATATCTATTGTCTGGCTTTAGAGATGGATTTTACTCATTTAGCCATACACTTTAAAATGACTAAAACCGATCCGATAAAAATTTCGGCAGGTACAAAAACTATACCTCATTCAATAAATATTAAACGAATGCCCAATTCATTTTCTAAATTGAATGTCAATACAATTGGTAGTGCCTCCAAAAAACAAAAACACATTTTGAATCCAGAAACCGTTTGAAACTACACCATAAAATAAAATTATCCACAAAATATTATGTATGTATGTATGTATGTATACGATAAATGAAGCTGGTTCTGTTTAAGACAGGCGATGATTAGATGGAATAAATTAGTGATTTAATAGACAACAGTAATTGATTTTTAATAAATTTTTACATCAAATGGTACTGTGTAAATATATTCAAAATAATACTCTTTTTGTTGTCTGTAATTAATTGAATGTAAGCAAAAGAATCACGGGATGAGGACGTTAGACAAACTTCTAAATGTAGAGTAAGTTCTAGTCTAACGTTGAAAATACTTCAGTAGCAGTAAATATCCGCTAGATGGCAATGCAATGCCTAAGGCGCGCTGATAATGTTAAACATTCTTAAGAATAGATGCACTTTTCAGTGCTCTATCTAGTGAAAAATATATTGCAATTAAATGTATGTTTAATACTTTTAATTTTTTGCAATAAAATTAATAACTATTTCAAATATGTATACCCATAAGTATCCTGCTTATTTCAATAATAATGATTTCCTGAATCAATTTTGCCGAAGGAAATTAAAATAAATTATACTTAGGTATTAGGTATTTCGCAATCGGTAGAAGCCTCCGGGAGAAAATTGCACGTTTTCCTTCCCTCTTCCCTATTTTATACGGCAAAAGGAATTTCTGTACTCTGCCAACGCAACGGGACCGTTGCGAAAATGCGAGCCATAAAGATGGAGATGCAAATTAAATGGGCTAATTAATCGTCAATTAGTTTCATAACTTCTCGCAAGCTACTCAAATTTTATTGTCCCTAAGGGAACTATAAGCTCTAAAGAGGTCGTTCGTCATCTAAAAATTTAGGTGAATAGGTATATCGTAGGTACTTATACATCAACAACAAAAAAAAAGAGATACCTTTTGTCTTAAAGAAAAGGTGTCTCTTTTTTTGTTGTTGATGTATGTATGTCAAATTTTAGATGATGATGATATAGTTAAGTCGAAATAAGATGAGCAAGTAGGCAATAAAATACAAGTGAGTGTAGATAGATCGTCATCCTTCACATAAATATGTTACGGCGATAAACACCTGAAAATTTCGCGTTTTTAAACAGCGCATTTAAGTTTCCGTTAGCTAAACAAACTATCTCATACCTTCCGTTATATCTATTAGGGGTAAAAAATGTTGTAAAATCTGATGGTGCTATCTGTTTGACTATCGCCCTTCACATAAATATATTACAGGCGATAAACTGTTAGAACACCTAAAAATTTCGCGTTTTTAAACAG